GGCAAAATGACAATAACTTGGTTGCATGTCTGCCCTGTATTTAAATTCTGATACTACTGCTGACGATAGCGTTGAACTTCAACATCTTCACAGTTCAGTAAGAAGTGTCTGTTAATATTGAGAATACTTATTTTGCTCTACAGTCACACTAACCTGTAATTTACAGTTGAGTCATTGTTCTGTCAACCTTGCTAAGTACAGGCTTTAAAATGCAAAATTGAACTAGCACGTGGCAAGTGGTATTGGTTGAGCAGCCACAACAGATCCTGCGTTTGTTTGTTTCTCCTTTAGTTGACTGTATCTTTCTTAAAACCACACAGTGAGCATTTTTAAGGGGACTGGCTTCTGTCTATAAAGCTACACATTGCAGTTTCTTTAGGTTTAGTGGCAAATGTTTTGCCCTTGTTTCGTGTAAGTTATATCACAATTCTTAAAAATATATATTTTTGTGTTTATTGTAACTGTAAATAAGCATTTTCTAATTAAAAAAAATCATTAAAATACATCTACATTTAATAGATGGCTGTAATTTATCCTTGGACCCTTCAGGTCAAGTTTCACACTAGTATTCTCTTCATTCCGTTTGTCAGTGCAGATGCAGACACAACCATACAAACATTTCCAACTTCACTCTTTCCAGGTAAAAAATAAGTTTAAAATAGGTCGTGTACGTGTGCCACATACAGCGTGACAGAGCATTTGTGTGTGAAGGAAGCAAACAGGCACCTCCTCGCCCCTCTTTGTGGCCTGCTGCTGTAAAAATCCACATGGAAGGTTCTCTGCATACTCTTGTTCATTACTGAAGTGACACGATCTGCATTTTCTAATTCTTTCTTTCCTCGAAATACAATCTTAGAAAGTAGAGCCCTGTGTCCTTAAGGAAACAAGCTACCAAACAGATTATATTCATAGCATAAAATAGAGGATGTTATCAGCAGATTTTGGTTGCACTTGAAACTTCTATGAACATATATTGCATGTGACTTGTTTTGCAGTCTGCTTTCCTCAGGCTCCCTTATTTTAGCAGCTGGGTTTTTCCTGTCTTTATTTTTGATTATTGTAATCTCTAACTATAATCTCTGATTCATAATCACATTACAACATATCATTTATTAGAGAGTTCCTTAGAATTAAAGAAGAAGGATGCAAGCTTAAGATCTTACACAAGGCTTTGTCTGCTGAAGAACAGAACAAAACGCACACAGGATTATTTTGACTACAGGAGAACTGTTGCAAATAACTGCTCTGGAGAGAGGGTAATGGACTTCCATATGGTTTCAGTTTCTTTTGTGTGAAGGTTGAGAGAGTAGAAATAAGTGTGGCACGGGGGCTATGTGGCTTTGTTTTACATGGCCTGCAGTTGCACCATTATCTAGTTTATATGGGAAAGAAAAATCTAAGTATTAATTTTGGACTACTAAAGAAATCTTTAGACAAAAAAATAATACTAATAAAAAACCTGTATTACTGCACTGGGAGGATTTTGGTTATTCGTTTGATTCTGTTGCTCAGAGATGCCATCTGCAATGGTTTGGGTTAATTGGTTGGAAAATCAAATAGGAGTTATTTATCTGAAATACCAGTACTAACTTACAAATGCAGGGATCATCCCTTAGTATCTCAGCTACAGCTGGAAAGTGAGAAAAGCTGTCTAGCTTACCTTTTGCAGCTCCTCCAGCAGAGTTCAGGCATTGCAGTAAGACACTCACTAATCCCTTAGGAACTAAATGCATTGAAGGAACTTGAGGAAGTTTTTTAGGTTGGTCATCAATCATTCACACCTGCTTCCTTTTATATGAGTCAAGTTGCTACACCTGTCCATTTGCTTACTGGGAATTCCTGCTCCTCTGGCTGGAGAGGGACATCAGGAAGTAGTTGTCTGACTGCTTCACCCCTCCAATTCCATAGGTTCTTAAGAAATTGTAATTATTCTTACACAACATCCTACAGATATTTCTAACACTGCTGCTGGGAGAGGAAAGAAAACTCAGATAAACTTGCTGCAATTTCTCATCAGCTGCTTCTGCAGTCATTACAGCAGCAGTACCAAAATCAAGGCATTCCTGTTTGATTTGTTAGGGACCAACAGAGCAACTTCAGAATTGCAGGTGTAAACACCTTCATGTAACATGAGATTGATTTGGAGATAGACTCAAAACCTTTTTTTTTTTTTCACTTTATGGTATAGGATACATTCTTCCATTGCAAGTTTTATAATGGGATACAGACCACTCTTGAGTTCAGAATAGCTTTGCTAACAGTGGTTGGATGCTGTGTGGCCAAATGTAACTGAGTGCTAAGGGGAAAAGATTAGATGTAGATGCTTACCAATGATAATGGCATATTAAGCATTCAAGTACTTATGTTGCAGATTTTTCACTTGCTTCCAGGAAACAGCTGCACAACTTTCTTCAAACTGCTGGTTTTTGTGTATTCTACAATGAAAATGGGAGAATTTCCTTGATCCTTGCACAATCATCTAATTCAGGAGGTGGAATAAATGTCAAATTTTTCCTTGTCAAGCTGGCAGACAAACGTTCAGAATGAGGAATTTCTTTCCTCCCAGCTAACTGCAAGGCACCTAGCTTTCTCATAGCAGGCTCTGCTGGATCACTGGTTTTACTCAGCTTCTGTTGTTTCCACTGGGAAGTCAGCTGCCCTGCAGCAGAGTGTGATGTCCTGGCATCAGTGAGAAAGGCATTTTGACCTTGCAGTCAAAGAATCCTGACTTTTTGCTAGCATTGCTTTCCAAGCTGTTCATTCATGGCCTGGCCCAACTTCCTTACACTCCCTTGAACTTCACTGGGAATTAACTGGGAATGGAAATAATTTCATTGCTCCATGAAAGAACAGCTGACTGTCCTCAGATGTTCTGCATGTTCAGATGTGAGTTGAATAAGACCATCCCCCAGTAGTTTAAAATGTATGAAAATAACCTTTGACAACAGTCAGTTTCAAATTCTAATATGTAGAAACTAACAGATGGAACTAGTCCCCTTGCTTATTGAGTTGCTTTCTTAGATCTCTAGTCTCTAGCTGCCTTGTTTTTTAGACTTGCCTATGTAGTTTGCAGAAGAAGCTGCATCAATTCTAATTTATCGAATAAATTGTTTTGCAAAGATGTAGCTCAGGTGTTTTTGTGTGCATGACATAGCTAATTTGTAACTGAAAGACCTACCCTGAGTAATGAGGAATTGACTCAATTTGAACTGATACTTGCTTGTTTCCCATGGGAAATAAGCTTCTTGTCTTGGCACTTGTCATTTGGAGGAGTCCATAGAAAAAGGCCGTAAAATAGATGATTTTCCAATAGAAAAACACTTTGCTGAGATTATTTAACCTCAGGGCAGAAGAAATAGGGACTGCTGACACAGTGCTGTGAGGACTGAATGAAAATGAGGAATATCACTAGTATTTGTTGTGAAGAATCAAGGTTTTGGTGTTGGTTTGTTTTGATACATACTATATTAGCATATAAAATCAGCTTTTAGAAAGCAGAATGTCTAAATGTGATTAAATAGCTCCTAGAAATGGTTTAAGAGCAGATATTTCCAAAAAGGATGTTTTCTGTACACACTGTTGTCTTCCATGGTTTCAGAGCTGCTAAAATCCTAGTAGAAAATAGAATTTACTGTAACAACATAGAGGTTAAATTGATTTGAAGGAATAAGGTGGAATAATTCATCTGCATTTGAGAACCTTTCTTTTAAAAATGGATATTAGTATCATGTTAGTCTTGATAGAATCACATGGCTGTCTTGTATGGATTATCTTACTTTTGATGCTTCTACCAAGATGTCAGAATCAATGTTCCTAATATCTTAAGGTATGGACAAATGCTTCCATTTTGATAGTGCTCTTGGAACAAGCTTCAAGGGAGTCAGCGACTTACACTCAAAAACGTCTGGAGTCTGATACACTGTGTCTAATTGGGAGGGAATAGAGAATTTGCATTGGTCAGAGATGAAACTGCAGAGGCGGATGGCAGACTTCAGCTCCGTTGTCCCTACAGGTTCCTTCTGTTTGGATTTGGAAAAGGCTTTCTTGAGAAACTGAAATCTTTAAGGACACAAATAAACAGGTGAAGACTTCAGTTCCTTGAGTTGCTTTCTGTTGTTTCACAAAGCCAGTGAAACTGTGAAAACAAAGCTGCTTCTTGTCTGCTTATTTCAAATTCAGCATGTAGTAAAGCAGTCATGAATCCTGTGCATTACTGACAGTCTTACTGCTTTGGTGGTCACAGCCAATCATATGAGATAACTTGTCTTGGAGACAGAGCCATAAAATTCGTATCTTGTAGTAATGACAAAAAGATTTGCTTTCATGAATGCTGCAGTGCTGTTTACGTCATACTCTTTCTCAATAAGCGTATGCAAATACTTGCAGCAATTGCTTGCTTTCAGCAACATCTTCAGCCTACCCTTGTGGTTTGCAGTAGTAGCTTACAGACGCTGGTACAGACTTAACTGCTGTACAGCAAGGAAGTGACTTTGATACCTTTAATTGTGGCTGTGCTGATTCCATTAATTTATGTTCAATAGAAGCGAAAATTCCAAGGTCTTCTCCACTTTCTTTAACAAAGAGGCAAAGCAGAAACTGCCCAACCATTTCATTTCCTGGCATTTTTCAAGTATCTTACATTCTTCTGGGTAAAATGGTCCTAAATACTTTCCATCATCAGGTAACTTTGGTGATCTTTTTACACAGCTGCATTGAATGCCTTCCTATGATGAAGAAGATGAACTTTCAGAAGAGAGCTTCAAACAAATTTTACACATACACACCATCTTTGCTGCTTTAACAAACTTCAGTTCATACCTGTGCAGTGCAGACTCTTGTGACATAATATTAAAAAATAAACTAAATTACAGACCTCAGAAAGGACTGGGAGGTTTGTGCCTAAAAGCCTGGGAACTGGAATTAGTGGAAGATTCTCTTAAAACATACAGAACTATTTGTTGGTTAACCCTCATTGATGTAACACTCTTTTTAATTTTAAGGCTCACCAGCAGAGCAGAAAAGCAGACCGCTTGTTGGCAGCAGGGAAATATGAAGAAGCAATTTCTTGTCACAGAAAAGCTGCTGGTGAGTAGGTATTCATCACATTCCAGTTTTTAAAATCAGTTTGTGTATCTACATGTTTCATGGGACTAATTATCTAGTTACTTATAAGATATATTTTTATTCTTCAAGTGTGAATTGTTTTTTGTTCAGACCAGATCACAGACCTTTTAGAAACTTTAACATGGGCAGCCGAAGTCACAAATTCCCACAGTTGAGGTTGTTGGGGGTGTTTATTACTGTTAAGGCAGTTCTTGATTCAAGACAAAGGCAACTCTTTGTGTCATGTACAAATTACAGCTGGGATCCCGCTTCAAGCTGGTTTTGCTTTGCACTTCCTTTTCAGTTCTTTCATGGCTGAAGTAGTATGCTCTCTGTTGATAAAGCAAATACACAAACTTTTGTACAAGTTTATTTACTTCTTATTCCTCGTGTTTGAGTCAAGACAACTGAAAACAAGTGGTGAGCTCAGCTTCCCTAGAACTCGAGGACAGCAGAGTGCATCACAAACTTGGTGCTGTGACTGGCAGTTTCTCCTAAGTGATTCTTTGTTCCTTTACCTGTCCATTTAACCAGTCATGCTTAATTATTTGTGTTGCAGTCCATCAGCTGTCTGACAGTTCGGCAACTGCTTGGCAGAAGAAGAAAGAGGAGGTCTTAGTTGGTGTAATGAGTAGGACATTTACAGTGACAGGGCTCGTGTGCAGAAAAGAAGTGGCTTCTCCAAACATCGTAACCTAGATACAAGGCATTCTCCCTTTCTACTCATAAATACTAGGAAACCTCACAGAATGAAAAACCTGTTATTTGTGAATACCAAGAGCAGCAAGGGATAGCATGTCCCCTGATATGCAGACTTTTCTTTCTGGTTTCCCTCGCTTCATATTATCAAGGCAAAACCCAACGTATTGAATGTTACTTGCTTTTCTTCAGTTGATGATTCTGTATCGTTATCTTACAGCCTGAATTTGGTTAAGAATTTCTTACATTTTGTCATTTTTAACTAGCAACCAAAGGTTGAAGTCTGAAGTGCTCCTCTGACACTAAACCAGCACATTTTCTGATTGGAGGGGAAGTTAATGAAAAAAGTGGACTGTACAGACTGTACACTTTCATCAAGAATATAACTAAAGCATGACTTAATAACACAGGTGTATCAAGGAAGAGAGTATTTTACTTACTACATTTGTGTTAAATAGCATGGATATTAATAGTCCAGTTCTTCTTAGCCATGTTTCTTCTCTTCGTGGAAAAAGTTCTTTTTTGGGAACTTTCTGGAAAGGTCTGCCATGATAGTAAGCTCTGGTCCTTGAGACAAATACAAATTGTCTCAAGCTGAGCAACCACGATGCCATGACAAGGGTGTAGAATGTATTACATGATCTTAATGGACTTTTGGACTTTGGAGAAACAGTGGATGTTTCCAGCCACTGTAATTTGGTAAATACTTCACCTTTTGACTGTTTCTTTGATGTAAGTGTTCAGAATATGGAAAGTCTGAAGCATTTTCTTAGCTTTTGAAGAAACGTACAGACTCTATAACCTTGCCCTAAACATTCATTAATTTTCTCTCCCACAGCATACCTTACAGAAGCTATGAAGCTGACCCAGTCAGAGCAGGTGAGAGCCACATGCTGCAGATGCCAGAACTCTATGTATGTGTGTCTTATATTGTGCCCTGATGATCATAGCCCTGCTGTAATCTGCATTGTTTTCTGAGACCCACAGCAACTACACTGGGAATTCTAAAAGTGCAGAGATGCTTGTCTTTCCTGAGAGTTTTTGCAAGCTGAAGTGAGGCAGGGGACAAGAGAACTAGTAACACATACTTTCATGGGTTTCCCCAGCAATGTTTTCTAGTCTGCAGGGTGTATTCAAGGCAGGTGATACAACTAGTTTCATGGTTGACTTTTGCTGTGAGGCACTTAGGCTGTTTTCCTTAGATACAAGTAGCAGCTCATCTATGACATGCCAAATGAATCTCTACTTCCTTGGTGTTTTGTTGCAGATCAGTTGGACTCCCTGTGCATCTGCTCAGGAGTATCAACAGCCTGGCTAGTGATTTGCCCAAAAAAAAAGTACTAAACATTAACTCCTTAACAATACCACCCACTATATTTGGGTGACATATCTGAAACTGTTGCATTGTAACAGTGGAGAGCATTTTTTGTTGGATTTAGTATCTGAATAACAAAGGCTCCTCCTCTCCCTGGGGCATGCCATGATGCTGTTTATGTAAATGTTTACATGCTTGTAACTTTACTAGAGTGAATATTCAGGTGGATTAAGGATCACCAATTAAACTGTTTAATCTTGTTCTTACTCAGGCTCAGCTATCACTGGAATTACAAAGGGATAGTCACATGAAACAGTTACTGCTCATCCAGGAGAGGTGGAAAAGGGCAAAGAGAGAGGAAAAAATGAAAGCTCAACAGAATGTGGACAGAGAATTAGCTGCACATCTTCAGACTTCTTTTAAGCCATCAGCTGAAGAATCTGATGAACAAAATGTGTTGATTCCCGTGACTCAGAAATACAGCCCTTCCACAGAGAAGCATCTACAAGATATTCAGGGTGTCTTTGACAGGGACCCGGATACACTGTTATTTCTGCTTCAGAAAAAAAATGAGCCAGTGGAAGCGTGTATTGGGAGTAAAGCTCCAAAAGATGACAAAACAATCATAGAAGAGCAGGCAACCAAAATTGCAGATTTGAAGCGGCATGTGGAATTTCTGGTAGCTGAAAATGAGAGATTGAGGAGGGAGAATAAGCAATTAAAAGCAGAAAGAGCTAGACTCCAAAAATCTCCAGTAGAGAAAGAGTTGGATGTAGATGCTGACTTTGTAGAGAAGTCAGAGTTGTGGGGTCTGCAGCAACACTCAGAAACTGCTTCTTCAGCTCCATCTTGGCAGGAGTTTGCAACAACTGCTGGGAAGGCAAAGGACATTCCAATACCCAACCTTCCCCCCCTGGACATCCCATCCCCTGAACTCCCTCTGCTGGAACTCTCTGAAGATATACTAAAAGGACTGATGAATAGTTAAAAAACAGGAAAAAAAAGTGCTCTATGTAGTTACCTGAACCAAGAAAAGGGAAAACCACCAGGACAATGATGGCCTGAGGGCAGAAACATCTTACACAATCCTACTGTTGGAGAAAAGGCATTAAAGCAACTTTGTTACTGTGAAATACACATCATATCTAATCTACTTCATAAAATCGGAAGGTACCGTAACTGGTATACTATGGCAAGCTCTTTAGTCTTTCTCCCAATGTTTCAAACCAAATGACTGCCTGGAGAATGTTTCATGTAACAGAATCCTTCAGGGGTTTAAAGTATACTATATGTAATAGTTATCTATATTGCCATAAATGATGGTGCAGAATCTAACTGTTATGGTTGCCAGTTGGCTGCCACTTCATATTGAAAAATGCTTTCTAGCATGAATTTAAACTGTGCATTTCATTATGCATAACTTTGTTAATTCAGATACAGTGCAATTTATACACCTCCTAGATGGATTTATGTGCCACACTCTGTGCTCCTGACCGAGTTAACCTCAAGTCAGGAGAGACTGAAATTTCCATTCTATGAAGGAACCAACTTATTACTTCTGTTGATAAGTTTTGGGGGGTTATCTGTTTACATAACTAATCAGGGTGCATCAAATCTAGCTATTGGTTTCTGTATAAAGTGACATTGTCAAAAAAAAGAAATCTATACTTAAGGAAAAATACCCTTTTTGTTTTTGGTGATGCGTGAATGGAAGTAATTCAAGCTGGCAGTATTTGATTGAAAAAGAAATTGTTTACAGCTTAATCTGATCCAAAAAGGACATGAAAATAAAAACCAAGGTGTTCTGACACCAAGCATGTGTTAATCTGTGCAGATGTTGGGGGGTATAAAAACAAATTTATACTAATGATGTTAGTACACAATGTACACCTGAAGTTCTGTGTTCATCCATCAGCAGATACTGGAAAGCTGGGATGAACTCAGAGTGCCGTGCTGGTACATAATGTGACTTGGCTAACAGCTTGCTTCTAACACCAGCAGATAGGGGAAAGCTCAGAGAAAGCAGTACTGTGTATCTGCACAGAGCCAGGCTGCTGGGAGCAGAATAAATGATGCTGTGAGGGCTGTGCAGAGCATGTGGCAGCTGGTGTCCGAGGTGGGCATTGGCTGCCCACAGCATCAGCCAGCCCTGGCCAGCACTGGTTATGCCCTGGGTCCAGGCTTCCTGCAGGAAGGAGGTGAGGGAGCCATGGGTTGGGGAGGCATTAGTTAACTTTAGCTGTTACTGATTAATAAGAAGATTGAGCATTGCAAGCCAATTCGTTTTAAGTTCTTCTTGTTACAGTGTGAGCTTGCTTTCTGAGCCTGCTTTTGTTTTTCCAGAACACGTGTGAAGTACAGCAAGGGCACCTTATGCTGTGCAGTTCTCCCCATGTCTCTGTGTACCTGGGCTGTTGCGTTGCTTGCTTGAAAGGACGTAGGGACTTCAGGCTAGGAAAAGCTAGAGAAGAAAGGTAAGAAGTCCCTTGTACTGAATTGCAGCAGGCAGTTCATCTTCCTGCGGGGAAAAAAGTTACTCTGGTATTGCAAGAGTTGCAGCGCACAATCCTGAAGAGCAGTGGTGATGAGGTAACCTGTTCTGGCCAGTCCCCAGCCTGGTGCTCTCGAAGAAGGGCAGGTGATGATTTCTGCTGTCACCTGCTGCCTGCCCAGCTGCTAAGGTTGTCAAGCAGTATAGTGCACTGATTTTGTTAATGTAAAGCGAAGAAAATGGTATATGTTCACAGGGAGGAAATATGTTATTTAGGCAAGCACCCATCTCATGGCACTGCCAGGGCTGTTCGCTATAGACAAACATCTCAGCTGCCTGCAGACAGCAGGGATAGGAGAGTAGGAAGCAATTTGCAGCCTGGTTGCCCCTGCTGAAGGATCAGGATTCTACAGAGGGGCAGGGTCACAGCATGCTCTGCCTTCTGGTGTTATAATGTGGCCACTTGTCCCTTCTTGTTGCTGCATAAGCAGAACAGCAGATCTGAAGGAAGCTGCTGCTTTGTAGGAAAACATCCAAGAAGGAGCAATCTCCACTTCCAAAAGTTGCAGCATGTTGCTAACACTTTTCTTCCTTCTGCAGTTCAACTGTTTGTTTATTTCTGCTGTGTGCCACCCACTGAACACAAGAATGCTGATGAAATCAAACTTAGGGCATCGTGGTTTAACACTGACAGTTTTCTATTCCCATGAGTGGTGCAGTACGAAGACTGGATGTCACATTCTCTGTGATAGGACAGGCCTTCCAGCAGTGTGAACACAGCTGGCATTACATGGCCCATGGGGAAAACTGCTTCTTGTGCAGTGCACGGCCTGTCCTGAACATGGTGCAGATGATAGCTCTGAGGTCGCAGCATGGCTTGGCACCCAACTTGTGTGCTCCTGCTGGAAGGAGAGCCCAAGCCTCCGCCCTGCCTTCCCTGCAAAGAGCCAGGGTGGGAGCAGATGGAGCCTTCCCTTCTGACAGCATGAGACATTTGTGAGAACATCTCACAGCCGACTTCTCTCTGTAAAAGTGCTTTATGTTCCAGGCAGAAAGCCGAGTGAGTGGAATAAGACCAAATATTGTGGTTTTGCTAAGTAAGGGACTGTTCAGTCTGTACTCAGTACATGAGCGGTCATGTGGTGTATTTAAACAATGACAGATGTTGTATAAGGAATACTATGAGAGAGCAAGTTTGATAGGTGCACGGTGGTCGATCTAAGGAAATTCTCGAGCTCTGTCTGCAGCCAGCTCGCGCCCCAGCCGTTGAGAACTGCTTTAAGTAACCATTGCTTTTCAGTTTGCTCGCATTCCAGCGTCGTGAAACGACCAGAAGCGCTCGGGGCGTTCCCTCCCCGCAGCAGCAGCTCAACCTGTGCTCCCCAGCCCGAGAGGGCCGTTCTGTCCCCCCTGCCCTGCCGCTCCTGGGGCGGCTGCGGCGTTCCGGTGCCCTCTGCTGGGCGCCCGCTGCCGCGCGGCTCCAACCGGAACACCCGCCCCACTCGTCCCCGGCTGTCGCCGCGGCAGCGGGCTTCTCCCCGGGCTTGTGCAGGATAACGAGTACAGCATTCACATACGGTAAGTGAAGTAAACTGCATGAATTACGGCAGCAGCAACACCGTGTGAGGTTACAAACGGTCATAAAGCGAGTAACCAAAGCCTTGCACAGCCGGTGGAAAGGTTCCCTTGGGCCTTAAACTGGATCAGTATTGTTTTATAGGATGAAACAAAACCCTGTGGTCCATTATGTCAAAGTGTCTCACCAAGAACCAATTTTAAGCATGTGTCCAGACACCGACTGCTATTCATAGCCTTCATTTACCGCAGAAACCACTCTGTTTTGGAGCACAGAAGTGTTATCCCTGCTGAACGCAGCCAACATACGCACTGCAGAACATGCAATTACCCAGACCTTGACTACACCCCACAAAGAGGAAACCAAGGAACAGCAGCTGGGAGGCAACGTGGAGCCTCCTGGGAGTTAAATCTCCAGACCGCAGATTTAAGCGGTACTTAAAATGACAGCTAAACCCAAAATGTAGCAGCATGGGTTTTACATTTTGGTCTTACATAACAGGAAAGTTGGATGTAGTGACCTCTTCCTCTGAGAGCATTTCTGTTATCAGGACATCTCTGGTCCTAAAATCCTTTGTCCTCATGTCAGCAGCAGCTCGTTGGCCATGCACAGCTCCCAGCACCAGAGACTGCTGTGATAGACCTGATCCTGAGCTGAGCTTTGCAGAGAGGTGATGGCAGCTGGGCAGAGACAGCATCTCTCTGATACAGCTTGAAATAACTCCAGATTTATCTCATGTCTATCCTCCCTGTTTTAAGAGAACATATTGAAAGTTAGTTCTTTAAAAATATGAAATGAAAGCAGGCCAGAAAATAGATAATAAAATCCCTTGCTTATTATAACTAAACATACAGTATAAAACAAAGTCAATCAGTACAACTATCCAAAAGGCATCAGCAGCAGTGTGGTGCCCCAAATCATGGAAAGTCCAGGCAGCATTTGCAAGACCTTTCTGAATGTGACACATGGGGCCTAACCATACAGAAGTGCATTGCTTCTTAAAACCCCAATGCTATGGCTGTCTTCCCCCATTGCCTTTCTCTCCAGTCTTTGTTTTGCAATCCAAAGAAACCTAACCTTGTCCAAGCCCTGGACCATTTGCTGCGTGAGTTAAGGCAATACTGAGATCAAACAACGTGAAATCCTCAGAGCTGTACAAATACAGGATTTCCTGCCTTCGAGCTACTAACCCGACGCTGTAATACCACTAAGGAAGCACAGAGCTATGACAAACCACATGGCCCGGGACTGGAGAAAGCAACAGAGAATACAACATGTGGTATGGTTGAAAGGTGCCCAGAATGTTTGCTTTGATGTGCAACAACAAAAATTCTCTGTCTACCACTTTGCTTTAGAGAGGTCCGTGTTTAAAGTGCAGCTGTAATGCATCAGGTAAAACACATTGCTCTGAGGCAACATTTTCCTACCAGCTATATATAGGTTGTAACTTCCTTTTCAAAACCTACAAAAACAAATGAAAAAGCACAGAGGTTAGTTTGTTACGTCTGATGCTATGGATCGTTTGCCCCTCAGTCAGAGTTTCCTTGGTCACCCCACTGAGATGGAAAGAAGGGATGTGGCTGTGGATACCGCATCAGAGCAGCCCCTGCGGCCCCACGGGGCACCGCGCATCATGGGAACAAAAAGGCCGAGAAAGGAAACCAAAGGGGACCTGCACTCCTGTGAAAAAAGAGTCAAAGGGTGGGACGCGGGAGAGCTGACGTTGTTCTTTGAGGCAGGGCTGGGGGTTAGGAGGGAACGGCATTGCAAAGCCTCAGTGTGAGTCGTAGCAGGAGGAGGCAGCACATCCAGTGCGGATGTGGGGGAGAGCACAAACATCCTGCACGGGAAAGTGGCAGAACGGGGCACAGCGGCTGTGGAAGGAGGAAGGAAGGGAAATTCCCAGTTATGAGCACTGGGCGGAGAAGGTTGTCAGTTGTGAGAGCAAGAGAGGACTTCACAAGATGTCACGGGAGAGAGTATGAACAGAATTACCACCTACTGAGAAGGTCGGAGAGCATGAGAACGTAGTGCTGATCAGATGGAGCTTTGGCTTACACAGATCTGAGCAATTTCCGTCAAGCTGCAAGAGTAAACAGATTTTAACATCAGATTGTCACAGCCCAGTATTGCCTGATGTGTAACAGGGAACAGCTTCACTGCTGGCAATTCCAGCAACCCCGTAACTTCTGTTGGAGCTGAAATGTATGCAGACATCCACCCAAGCTGAAACAGCTCAGATCACGGCAGCCCACTTTGTTCTGTGCTGATCACTTATTTGTTCGTTACCTCTGCAGTTACAACAGGAAGAACGTTCCCTGCTCTTTTAATGTGTGTCCGTACAGTGGATGGCAGTGAGGAGCTGGAAGGGGTGAGGTAAGAAGGGTGGATGGGGAGAGGATGATGAGATGTGAACTTTCACAGGGAAAAAAAAAAAAAAAAAAAAAAAAAAAAAAAAAAAAAAGTCAGTTTCACAGAGGATAAAGTAGATCAAGGCAGAGCTTGATCTGAATGGGAAGCTGGTAAAAGACAATAGTACTTTATATTCTTGTTCTAGAAGATGGATGAAAGCATTTCTGCACTCAAACAGCTGC